GTCAGTGCACAGTAAACCAGTCAGAATTGCCCTGATGAAGATGACAGACGGTCATCGAAACGTTGGCTAGTGAAAAATAAATGGTTGTAATAAAAAGGAACTTTGCTATTCAGTCATTTACCAACCTGATGAACTTATTTACGGATGGTTGGGGAGAGTTTGGCAGTGTTCAGGAAGCCATGTTCTGCTATTTGTGACAGGGACTTGACTTGCTATCGTTGATAGACACAGACTGCCTTGATGTAATCAGGCCACCTTGTGTGTGCCATGATTGGTTTCATACCGCGGGACGTGCCTCGTAAGGCGACATCCATTAGCGGGAAATTGAACGGCCCTCCCACGTCATCCCGGACTCACGCCGCTATACAGCAGTCATTACAGTCGAACCATTTTCTGCAGTAAAATGGACTTATCATAAGACTATGATCTGGGCTTAGAGACGTGCGAATGATCATTTTGCAAGATAATGAGTCGCCTAGTATGGAAGTTATTGTGCTTATAATATTATAGACACGCTTATTCCACGGAAAGCAAGTTACCTGTGTACTCTGCACCATGACTACACACAGATACAGATTCGAATTTCCAAGCAAATCTTTCGGTGGCAGAGTCGTATCCAACAGCCAATACAGTGGTGAATAGGCAAGGGAGTGTCCACCTCGGTGGGCAATTGGATAGTGTCTTGCCTAAATGGACGTTAACGTTATCTTGCTAAAATTATTTATTTCATTCTTTCGCTAAAATACTTATGTTTCACGCATATATTTTTCTTGACACGTTACTTGAACTTGTATATCACTTGTGCAAAGAAAGAACAGCCGCAGTAACCCAAATTGCCCAATTAAGATTGCATTACCATTTTTTAAAGTACCATCCGATAACAAGTAAAAAGACTTGAAAGTAAAGACACTTCTACAAAGTGTACAAGACAGAAAGTTGTAAATAAATCCATACAACTGCGCCACATAGGAATGACTTCAATATCGATTTTTATAACATCCCTCCCAGGTTCAGGTCTTATCATCTAGCGTTTTCAATGCCTGCCTCAGAATAATGAAAATCTGTCAGATTTTGACAATCAATATACAATCACAGTCCATATAGCATATCAGAATAGGCCTCCAGCTTCCCAGGCTGTCAAACTAAATCTTCTCAAGGACAGATAGGATCTAACGAGAAGTCAATCGCCATGGACGGTAAGGCGACGCCATCGGCTATCCCGGTAATGATGATCCTTTAACCGGCAAGACGCTTTAGGAGGATGGTCGTGAGCGAAAGGTTGAAGAATTATTCTTATGCACGATTGGATTGATATCGAGGTGACTGAGAAGGGTGGTAACGTTTCGAGAGGTCCTGATTTTTCTTATTAATGTTTCAAAGCTGCAAATCAGATATTAATAGTCCTAAGCCATAAGTCGGGTGGTGTGGATAAACAACTTTTCAACATTTATAATTTTTCGTCTTTCGAAGTAAGAGCACGTAGCAGCTTGAAAATAAAGTTAAGGCTCATCAATTTTCATCCAGCCATTTGACGAGCAATTGTTCAATGTATAGCAGTCTTTGTATCCAGAACTGTGTTGGATAGTCCACGCTTATCTGGAATCGTGCCTGGGGCAAATCTACGTCCTTGAATACGCAACAACTATCCAGAACCGTGGCAGATCCTAACCCTAACCCATTCTGTCATAATACTAGACATGCACGGTTTTGGAAACCATGCATGGCAATTTTTTTAGAGAGAAAATACAATTTCTCAGAGTGACACCGTTGACACCACCACAAATGAATACCTACACTGTACCCCAGGTCCCCATAGGCTTTATCTCGGAAACTCTAAACTATGATAAACACTTGCTTGTTTATAATGGCATGAATTGTTTCTATCCGAATATCACCAGTCACATATCCCGTCTAGTATCCGGGCAGTGCCCAGGGCAACTTTTAATGAAGACTGAAAACAAGCCCGGGTCAAATTGATCGCCTCTCCACCGAGCAGCAACAGATCACAGTTTCTCAATACAGGACGGCAGTGTGGGGCTGTACACAGTCGGACCATGACATACCGCCGGAATGGCTGGACCAAATTGAGATAGAATTAGCTACCGGGGAGAAGTGACATAAGGTCGTCGCTTGCACAAATTCGGTAGCCTTTATTTAGTACTCAACTGTTTGCAACCTGTGGCCAGAACGAAACGGTGGTCATCTGTCACGGCTGTGTGACGCTGAGCAATGGCGTTTGAACGACGTGTTGTAATATCCTGTGCCACAAACTGCACTATTGTCGTAGGTACATATCCAACAACGGGTGGCAACACACATCACACGATATCTTAATGGACCGGTGCGTCTCGATATATTGACTGGACACTCTTTTATTAGAATTTGGAAACTGCAGCGAAGTCAAACTTTGCAATTCTTTTAACGGTGTCGCTCAATGCAAGGACAATTATTTTTGGCCACTTCTAGGCATAGAGCTAGAGGTACTTAAGTGAGTATAATGTAGTTATGTCAGGAGATGGCAGTGGACCTTTGTTTTGAAGCTTTGTGGATTGTAGTCGGACGGAAAGCAACTGTTTGGAAGAGAGTTCCATAATTTTGCAGTCCGGGGAAAGAAGCTGTTGTGGTAAAATGACTTGGAGACAGGTATGTTAATGGTGTATTGATGAGAACTGGAAGAGAACCTAGTGGCACGCTGAAAGGTTCTGAGCGACGGAGCAAGAAGTGCAAGTTCTACTGAACATCATCCGTGAATTATTTTCCAATGGGTGGGTGGGCGGTTTGATTCGGCTGTGGAAGCCAGTTTTTCCCACTGGTATATTTCAACCTGGAGGGCGAACCGAAAAACACTTCCGAGAATCCAGACGGATGACCCTCTGGTGAGACATGGTCTACTTAACATGGAGTTATCGACTCTTGTCTTGGGAAATGAACGTTGCCTTAAAAGAGGTCCATTAGACAGCCTTGCCTTGAGAGGCTGTTTTGGCTTGATGATGTGAGAACTGCAGCAGGGACTCTGCCTACCAGATACAATCTCTAGAAGAAGCTCAAAGGAGTTAACATCGAAGGCACTTCAACTAGCTGTCATTAGGCAATGTTGTAGCCTTGCTAGATGTTAACCTAAAGCTTGGGTAATACAACATCACTGCATTCGATACCTTTTGACACATGCTTAATTCTCGTCTAGTTGAATATTGAAACCTGTCCAGCACGAAATGTATGTCTATTTTGCATTTGGATTATCATTACAATTACTAGTATTCCAAAGTATTACTAAAAATACAATTCAATTCACATTACGTTGTACTAGCGGGTTACATATAAAAACATTTAAATAAACGTTAAATTGATGAACCGTTTTGTACTAATGAAGAAAGGTATATGCCATAATTATAAGTGAAGTTAAATATAATTAGTTTTCTAGACTTAATGTACAATATTTTGCTTGTGAAATGTCTTTCAATTCAACATGTCCTTATTAGCTATGCGAATGACCTCTATATTTACATGATATATGCATGGTGATGTCAACCTTTAAGTAACTTACACATGTTATAAGGTATAAAATTCCACTCCACCATCAAGAAATCACAGAATTTTCACATTAATTATGCAAATTAGGTCATTATTTGCATAATTGGTATATGTTGAGGTTCTACCTGCCGTAGATTGCATACATGTATGAAAGTACCATCATGTAAAACAATGTAATTACAGAATTCTCTCTTTAATTATGAAAATTAAGACTTTATTTGCACAATTTGCATTTAATTATGTACATCTCTCTATAGGCTACCTACATACCAAAAATGATGAAAACACGTTGTTCCTTTCTGGACTTATCCGCGTTAAAAAAAAAGTCAGACCCCCCCCCTGCAGTTCAAGACAAAGCTGCTAGGGGAACAAAACCCACATCACTCATTCCTGAAAAGAAAAGCTATCTGTCACCAATAAACCGGACGTTCTGCTGCAGTACCAAGGTCAGCCACCAAGAGGCCCATACTTGACTTTGGCCGGTCGACCTTTGTCTTCCTACAACCTACCAACATACCAAATATATACCGTGATTCCACCCCTTATGGCCTGCGTACTGACCAGAATTATCTCCCTTTTACCCTCAAAACTGAAAAGTACAAAAAATCTTCCTTGCCTTCTGCTGTTCTCTCTTGGAACAAATTTCCCCAGACCGCAAAAGAATCCCCATCCATTCGTGCATTCCAAAATGAATTAGAGTCTTGCTTTGATAGCATGCCCAGACATCCTCACTATTCCCACGGCCACGGACACCATGTGACTCACCGTACCAGACTCAGGCTTGGTTTCAGCCAGCTAAACTACCACCTATTCCAGCACCACTGTATCAGTAGTCCCGAGTGCAAATGTGGGCATCCAAATGAGACACCAGAACACTATTTATTACACTGCAAATTTTATAATACTGAAAGGACCAAAATGTTGTTAGCCATATCTTGCCTTCATCTTGAAAACATACTTCCTTCCGACCCACTCAACGCAAACGACGCCACATTATGTACTTTACTTCTTACTGGTAGCCCCTCCCTCCCATACACTACTAACTGCCGTATCTTTGATATTGTGTTTAACTATATCCACCACTCTGGAAGATTTGACCAATCTCAATAATGTTATGCTAGGTATTGGTGCGCCAGCCACTTTCATTTTATGTTAATGTTTTACTTTATGTCATCTTTATGTTTACATTTGTATTATGTTTTATGAGCAGCGGATTTACATAAGCACAACAAGTGCTTCCTATCCAATGCTCAAAAAACATGTGAATAGAATAAAATAAATAAATAAAATATATCTCAATCTATTAAGGTGTTCTGACGACATACTGAATACAAATGTGCGGAGACACAGACAGACACACAGACACACCAAACATATAGACACGCCATAAACAATACCGCCATTTTTCATGGAGGTAATAATAACGACAAGGTAACAATGTGCAAAGTTGGATATGGTTTTACACTTACCTCATTAGCGATGATCCAGTGGTGTTCCGGTGTGAACAGCCCACGTTGATTTGCCTACAAAATACAAAACAGGTTTTTTATTACTTGAGCGATTTCACTCCCTAGGATTCGCTAAGCTTTACATATAAATACATTTCCCCATGCTATACGTTTATTTTCCTGTCAGCCAAGAGGACCTTCTTCACTTGTTCTGGTCCAGAAAGCCTCCTTCTTTCTCAGGTTCGGTCAAACTACGAATTCTGTGTATTAGGCCACACCAATTTAATTTCTTGGTTAACGGATTCGCCCGCTTAATTTTTTCTGATTTGCAAATAAAAATAAAAATTCAGAATCAACTGCAAAATGCTCGTATTTTGCCCTGAACAGTTGAAAACAGTCCTTTTCATCCTAGTTGTTACAGTTATTCCATCTTTTAATGCAATGGTATCATTAAAAGTTCAAAATTCATTGTTTAAATTTTGAACCAGCCTGGTGTGTTGACTTCATGGCTCCTATCGTACCATTTTGGGCCATAATAGGATGCCTAGGCCTGTTTTTACTATTTTTTTTTATTTCGCCCGCCTGCTCCATTGTTTTTCTAGAAAAATCCGTTAACCAAGAAATTAAATTAGTGTGGTACTATGAGGGTTTCCTGTATTATCACCAAGCAAAGTTTGCAGTATACAGAGAAACACAATGAAAGTAATTGACATTCAAAATAAAACAATAACGATATAGAAACCCAGTCTACCACGCAGGATTAAAGTGAGGCTTTTCATTCCATCTGGTTCTTTGGGAGCCTACTGCAAAGGGAAAAAGAAAAAGTGGTAGACCCAGAGTCACCTACTTAGACGACCTACGATGTGACACTGATCTGAATGATAGTAATGAATTGCTAAGGGCCATGGAAGACCAAGTGTTATGGAGGAGACTTTCTGCATTGGTTCGAGCTCCCGCTCGAACTATGTAAGTAAGTAATAAAACTATACACAGGTCCACCCTCTTACATAATACTTGTGTGTCTGAGAGCACTTAAAAGCACTGATCTTCGATTTCCGATGGAGTTCCAAGTCTGGAGGACGCTTTTCAGCCATGAGAACTCTGCCATGTGACTCCCTCAACAACCGCAAAATTGTTATCAAAATGTATTACTTTCCCCATTGATTTGTTTATTTTTTATTGTAATGCCTAGTTTTGACCATTTCTTCTTCTGTTACGCTACGTTCCTGCTTACCATTAAGTTACTTTATTTTAATTTGTTCATTGATTGTACATAAGTTTGTTAATTCCGCACTTACTTTATGTTGTATTTCTAGTATTTATGTGTTTGGGGCTTGCCCTTCAGGGCACACTGAAAACCACCCTTTTGGACGATATGTTGTGTCCCTGGTTCAATAAATAAACAAAACAAAACAATTAAAGGTATTCTTATCAGTTTGTATCGCCTACGTTTGTCACAAACCAAAACATTTTGAAGTACATTCCAGAACAGGCAAATCATTGCTCACCTTATCAACTAATCTTCTTACTTACTTACAGGTTCAATCACAAAAGGTGGTGCTGGCAACAAACCAAACAATTTACAGCCGCCCAGCCTCCCTCTGAAATATTCACCATCCTGAGACACGACCCCCATATCTATTTTGGACCGGTCCATTCGTCATGTCAGCGAACATGATCTTGAGGTATGATGAAGAACATTGACCCGTAATCCGAAAAGATCAGGAATAAGAGTCTTCTGTCCCAGAGGAAATCATCTGACTCCCCCGCGTCTCTGTCGGCTTAGTTCCGCTCCGATGAGAGATGACAGCAACATTCCCACTGCGAACAACCGATGCCGGTTCCGATCCAAGGCTCCAGAACAACAGAGCTAATTCCGCGGCAGCGGTGATGAACAGCGCGATCAATACAGTACCGGGTTGGATACTCCTTCCCGGGATTTCCTTCTGTTACCTTCCAAATTACTAAGCCAGGAAATTTGTCAAATACTGATATTGGATGTGCGGTGAAGTGATACCACGGGAGCCAGAATCACTTCAGTTTTTTTAATATTTCTACATGATTTTATTCAGCACGCATGATAAATTAGTAAGTTGGAACCCTCTAATCACCCTCCATTCAGATATGGTATATAAATAAACATAGCACATTCTGAATATCCTCCATGATGTCTACTGGAGGTTACTATGAAATGATTGACATATTCAAACAACCATGTTTGACCCCATAAAACCGTTACCACCCCAGTGATGCTTACTACCCGGGGCCCGGCCGGGCTGTTAACGTCAATGACAAATAACAATATACCCAAATTTATTTATTTATTTCATCTCAAGACGGCTGGGTAGCCCCAATTCAGCTTGTATAAGCTGTTTTCCAAGGAGACCCAGCAATATTACACAAGACATTGTAACATACAGCGAGACAACATACAGTAAACATGATGATGGCTGGTAGGCAAGGGCAGCGTTCATTATGCTAAGAAAGGTCTGGGCCTCCAGAGGAATACGCAGAGCCACCAAACTTCGGCTTCAGCTCCAATGTCAAATCAGTCATCCTCTATGGTTCGGAAACATAGAGAACAACAAGAGCCACACAGCACTGGTTACAGACTTTCATCAACACCTGTCTCAGACGAATCTTCAAGATAAGGTGGTGGGACAGAATCAGCAACCAGGAGCTGTGGGACAGAGCAGGTCAGAAACCCATCAGAGAACAGATACTTAAGAAGAAATGGTCCTGGATAGGACACACGTTGAGGAAAGCCAACACTATCACTCAGCAGGCCCTGACCTGGAATCCACAGGGTAAGAGGAAGAGGGATAGACCCTAGAACAGCTGGAGAAGGGACACGGAGGAGGAGATGAGAGTATCAGCACCAGCTGGCAGGACCTGAGGAAGAATCCCAGAGAGACAAGTGCAGTGAAATAACATCATAGGTGGCCTATGCCCTGGCAGGGGCGAAGGTCCTAAGTAAGTAAGTAAGTAAGTAAGCATGATGGCGGTACTTCGTGTCCGAAGATTCTAGGAAAGTTGTCCTATGCAGGCCCTCATGTGGCTGTACAGCCCGATCCTTGACCTGCAAGTCCCGTAGCAGGATGGACATGTGAAACTCTGTGCTGGTGGTGACTGGGTAGCTGCAGCTTTCCTGCGCCTTCTCGTCTTATTTTCTCTTCTCGTTTTCTAGTCCCCTCTTCTCGTCTTCTCTTCTCTTCAAGAAGAACTCATGATTTCACCTTTTTTGTGTTTTCTTGTCTTTTATATCATGGGGCTTGGAACACTGTTCCTGACTGTACCTTATTGCTAGAATGTTTAAAAATGTTATAAAAGACAATAAATCACACAAAGAAACAAAAAGATAATCATGATCATAATTTGTGTATATTTTTGATATGCTTTTTTTTCATTTTCAATTTCGTTGGGCACATTTCCAGTCCGGGGCCCGGCCGGGCTGTTTGCGTCAACAATATACACAAATATTACTCATGGTTTTTCACCGTTTGTGGGTTTGTTACCTTTCGTGTCATTCTGTTCATTACTTTCAAATCATTCTGGAAACTGTCCGGCCGGGCCCCGGGCGGGGATTGTGACCTTAGCATTACCCATTCCATACCTCATTGATGACGCTGATGCTGTTCTCCACAGTACAGAGTAGAACAGCGTGTTTGAAGAGGGTCTTTGGGTCTTCACTGACCCTCGGCAGGGTGACTTTGGTGTCGCTGCCGTTGGAGAGAGACGGCAGCCGGAGTAAGATGATCTCAGGAACCAGACCTCTGGTCAACAACAGGAGCGTCTCCGCCCTGCTGAACGCTGAGGAGAAAGAAAATGCTGGAATCAGGACGACTCGGACCATTACCAACTCGGCCCATCGCAAATTTGGTCATCTCGGCGAGCGACGAATTTGCCCATCCAAGTGCCTACCACACGATACTAGACGGATTCATTTGTTCACACTATTTTAGTACATTCTAAGTTTGTTTCATGGCGATAATTATGTGACTGTTGTACCGATTACTTTAGTATAAATAGTATGTGTTAAATGAACGTAGTCATCTCATGCAACGAAAAACATTGTTTGCATTTTGTCCTCTGGTGTACAGCCATGATTCTCTATTAAATCGTAATCACTCCTAGTGACTTTTATGTGGGAAGTTATTGTAGAACATTGGAGAAAATGTTTGCATTACTGCAGATACAATAAATGAATGAATGAATGAATGAAGACCTCTATGTACACATACACCCATTGGATTAAGAACAGAAGAACAGAAGTCACAACGGAAGAAT